AGAGATTGATTTGGGCTCTGAGAATTTCACAATTGGCTAGAACGTGCTCTGAACCAAGCTACAGTGGTAATCACTATAATTAAAGCAATTTAAAAATCTTTCGGGGCCAAATGGCCAAATTCAGAATGAGACAGTTCTTGAAATTGACTCTGAAGATACTCAAAACTATACAGATTGCCAGTACCAAGCAGTAAGTTCAAACCTCTAAGTCTGTCTCACTGATACTTTCTTTCAAATGGAGGGGTCTCTTCCCACACCCTCCTGCGGATACAGGTCAGCACTGGACTAGCTAATGTGCATGAGGCGCTTCTCCCCAACCAGGCAGTCCCAGCAATAGTGAGAGGGAGCCGGGGCCCCAGAGATTGCCCAGCTGTGAGAGCTTATGACACAGACCTGACAACTTAGAAGGCCACAGCTGACACCAGAACCCACAAGGCTAGCCTATCCTCCAACCTCCACACACACAAATGCTTTTTGCTTGCTTTTTACAGGCAAGGTATCTCTGTGTAGCTTTGGAGCCTGTCCCAGAACTCACTCTGTAGACCAGGCAGGCTGGCCTCAAACTCACAGAGATCTGCCTGCCTCTGCCTCCCGAGGGCTGGGATTAAAAATGTGTGCCACTACCACCTGGCCATAAATGGCTTAAAACAATAATAAAGAGCTTGATTGAGGCTAGCTGAGACACCCTGCCTTAAAACCAACAAACTACTGCCAGCACATTTCTCCTTAGCAGTTCTTAATAACTAAGATCCAATTGAAAAGACAAATATGAAATGCAATGATCACTTAGTGATACTCTCCTAGAGACCGCCGGAGGCTTAGAATTCAAACAGCCTGAACAAAGAGAGAAAGCATGAGAAACTGGTCTGGCAATTTCAGGAGACTCGGGAGGCTGAAGCAGGAAGATCACCAGCACAAAGCCTGCCTGGGCTTGTAGGTTAAGAGTTCCAGGACAGCATAGGCGACATCTGAAGAGATCCTGTCTTTAAAGTTACAGGGGAATGGGGGGGGGGGGAGCTAAAGATACACAGTTCAGTGGTACCTGTCCTCCAAAGAATGAGAAACAAAAGTAAACTTCAATACCTCCCCAAACCCTCAAAACTCTAGGAGTGATGGCACGTGCCTTTACCCCTAGCAACTCGTGAGGCTGAGGTGGCTATGCATCTGGGAGTTTGAGGCCAGTCTAGTCTACCAAGTAAGTTTCATGCCAAGCAATGGCTACACAGACTGGAGTAGTGGGAAACAGTAGGGTACTAGCCTGGGCTACCAAGCACAGTAAAAGCCTGTCTTTTGCTGCTCTTTCCAAAGACCCCCACAGCAGGTGGTCCACACGCCTCTGGCTTCTTCAAGCACCTGCACTGTGTACACATCCACCACACAACACACGCACAACACAATAATGATCTATGACAAAACAAAGGGTCTTCTACTAGAAAAAGGAAGCTTTCAGCTGCACTCAGTGGTACAGTGCTTGCCTAGCCTAAGTGAGGCCTTGGACTCAACCCTTAGCTGTGAAAGGCATAAAATGAGCCAGGTGTCGTGACACACCCCATAATCCCAGCACTCAGGAGGCAGTTAGGCAGAGCTGAATTAGAGACCAGCCTGGTGTCCAGAGTTCCAGCACAGCTGGGGTTACACAGTGAAACCCTGGGGGGGCTGGGGAGGGGTGAGGGAAGGAGGGGGAGGGGGAGGGGGAGAGGATGATGAATTCAAGGTCAGCCTGGAGCTGCGAGAAGAAAAGGCTCCAGGAGGAGGGAGAAAAATCTTCTCTAGCTTCCATCCTCTCACTATGCAGCCCTAGCTGTGTTAACTGCGTTAACTGCTGTAAGTTAATCTAGCTTCTGCTGCCTCTAGCTCTGGAAGGCACTGGATTACAGGAGTATGCCACCATACCCCAGTCAAACTCAATTCTCACAGTGCTTTTTATTTTAAGATTGTGTCTCTGGTAGCCCAGGCTACTTCGCATTATACTGAACTACTGATTCTCATTTTTCTACTTCCCAAGTGCTGGGATTACAGGCATAAAGTAAAATGTTTAATGTGTGTGGAGACTGCTGCATGCAGATGGGTCACACGAGTGCCTGCTGGACCCCTTGGTACCGGATTGGGCTTACAGTGCATACACTGGCAGAGTGAGTGGTGGCACCAAAGCCCACCCTCCGGAGAGCAGCACGTGGGCAGCAGCAAGCTCAACCACGGAGCGTCTTCAGCCCTCCATGTCATTGTTAAATAAGGAAGCCAATGCAAGATACTCTTATTAATGAGAAAAACTTGAGAGTGCTCGGGCTGATGGGAAAGGGAAAGGAAAAACCGTTGGCGCTCTAGAATCAAGAGCACTGCCATAACAAGTGGCTTCATAACCGATGACAGAGACCCCGCTGTAAGAAAACAGAAATGTAAATGTTGATGCTGATGAGCAAGGGACCAGGAAGGATATTGGGTCTGGGGAGTGGAGCGCGCAGTACGTATATGATCCCAGATTAGATAAATACTAAGCACTGCTTAAATAAATTTAAACCTTCATCCAGCTGGGTGTGGCGGGCACGCCTATAATTCTATCATCTGAGAAACAACTAAAAGAACCAAAGAGTATTTGAGGCCCCTCAGGCCAGCCAGGACTACAAACAGGCACTACTCTTAGTTTTAAGAGTAATGTATAATAAAAATAAGCATGATAATAAGAATGGTTAGTATTTACTAATTGTGTATAGATGCTTAAGAATTTTCTTACAGAGAAACTGTAAGATTGGGACCCAGGCCCAAGAGTTCTTCCAGACTGTGCTACACTGCCTCCTATAGGCAATCAAGGCTACAGGGTAACAACCACAACAGAATATCAAATCCTGCTCTGTACTAAGAAACTGTCACTAGTGCTAACAGGGGAGAGTTTCCCAGGTGTTTCTTGGACAAGCAAGCTACCCCTCAAACTAAAGTTAGGTACAAACTAGGAGAAATGGAGAGAATCGATTCAAAGTGGTAACGCCTAAAATTCAATCAAGGAGACTCTTAAGGGTTTAAATCAAAGTGCATGGCTCCTAGGCCACACTAGAAGGCTGGGAAGGGGAGCTCAGAGATCAAGTTTAGAATGTTTTTACCTAGGAATGAATGTTGAGACCTAGGTACACGCCTGCAGGGTACACCCACACTAGTTAAGGTTATCAAGCCCCTCTCCCCAAGTTACAGACCACCGAGCAGCTAATTATAATTTTTTGTCCCATTCATGTTTGCCTACAGAACAGATTATTCTGCTAATAGCTCTTGGTACACTGTAGGTTAAGAGAAAAAAAATAATTCTAAATATTAAGCTAGCAATACTTGGAAAATGCAGCTTTCCATTTTCACAAGCCACAACATCTATCATTTTATTAAATACCTTAAGTATCACTTAACCCTTTAATGCCTGAAATGCAACTTCTGTAAAACAGAAACAATTACTTTGTAGGATACAAAAAATGAGTCTGGCACACCTAAAACAAGACAAATGTTAGACCTATCAAACTCTCTCCAATAGTAAGTAGCAAATGCAGAAAGCAGAGAGCTGAGCTCAGATTTGCTCAAAGTCAACCCTCTTTTCATTCAGCACCCTTTACAGGCACTGGTCTCAACTGTCATCCAGGAATTAAGGCAATTTACTAAAAACCCTGGGCTTCCCGTTTAAAAGACCTGTCAGGAGAGGAGGCTCACGCCTTTAATCCCAGAACTCCTCAGGATCTGAGTCTGAGGCCAGCCTGGTCCAGAGTGAGTTCCAAGACAGCCAAGCCAGGGATACATAGCGAGACCCTGTCTGAAAGACAGCCTAGAAAAAGTAATTTGTACAAATAACATCATTAATCCAAACAAACCCTGTTTTCTCGCCTTCTTGGGGGAAAAAAAGCTCACAAAATAACTCCATGCTTTTAAAGCTAAAGCCTGATATCTTATAGATAAACTGGGTTACTTGTGTGTCTAATACATCTACAGTGTACTTGTGCTGAGCAGCAGGCTCCTCCATAAACACCACAGTGAGGCACTAGTACCTGAATCAATGGCGAGCTAGCAATACAAAAGAATGAATTCCACCTACCACCACAGGTTGTCGAATCATAAAAAGGAGGGCTGACCAACATCTGTTTGACTTGAAAAGGGCTATCAAAATGGTCAGGCTACTTACTATCTTTAAAGTGAGACTGCTTTAAGAAAGAGAACGCTCCTAGGCTTCTTTTGTAACTAAGGACTGATGGTTTTCCAGTGAGCAAATGAAGTTCAAACCAAAGCTATGCTTAACACCCTTCATATAAGCTATTCACAACAAAGTTTTTCTAAGAATAATAGAGATTCTCAGATGAGAAATTACGGATAAAAATAACTACAAAGTACAATAATTTTACCAAAAGCGAGCCTTGGCAAGAAGGTTCAAGTTGAACAGAGATGGCCATCGTAAAATCATTCTCACGTTTCACACTATCCCGACCTGACACGCGGATCTGAGTGCACCGCCAGCAGCAGCAAACCTAAAGAGACGGTTTAATCCAATCTTCAGACTACTTCCAGTGTGCGCGAACACCAGGCAGTAAGCAGACTGCTCCGCTGATAAAAATGTTTCAGACCCGATGTCAACCCTAAAGCTACAATCTCCAACCTCTCTTTCGGATGCAATCCCCTAGACAAACCCTTAGCCATTAAGAAAAAAAAAAAGTAAGATAAAGCCAGCGCTATCATTAGAAAACTGTCCTTCCACCCCTCCCCCAATAACATCCACAACTTCGGAAAACTTTGTTCCCAGGCTTTCCAAACCCCTACGCAGGAGCTCCCCGGACGGAGGGACCTCTCCCTCTCCCTGTCGGTGGGGGAAAAGGCCGCCTCCACCCGGGAGGGGGAGGGAAGGGGGGGTCGTCTTTCTTTTTTTAGTTTCTTTAGTCTTTTTTCCTCCCCCCCCCCACCGTGGCACCTCTCTCCCAAAAAGGTGTCGAGAAAGTAGAAAGGAGTAGCAAGAGAGAAAAGCAGCAGCCGGGGCGTCGTACCTGGGCGTTGGCTTCGTGGAGCCTGTGCTCTGCGGAGACGTGGTGCCTGAGCAGCAGGGTCTTCTTGTAGTTGCGGGTCCCCCGCGAAAGCTCGTCGTGCCCGGGCTGGGCGAGGGCGAGGTCGGCGGCGGCGGCCGCGTCCTCGGGGGCCTGGTGGCACCAGCCGCAGAACATGAGGCCGGTGTCCCTGGAGTAGCGCAGCCACGGGAAGTCCTTGAGCCAGGAGGGCTGGAAGCAGCTCTGCAGCTTCTGCATGAGGGACTTGGGCCTGGCGAGCGCCAAGTGCTGCACGGCGGCGTCTGCGCCCTCCGCTTCGTCCGCGCCGTCGCCTCCCGGCCGGCCGCCGGGGCCGGAGCCGGGGCCGAGGCCTGGGCAGGGGCCGGGGCTCGCCCCGTCCTCGTCCTCGTCGTCGTCGCTGCTGTCGCTCAGGGACGCGCCGTCCTGCATCGCCGCCTCCTTCCCGTCCAGCGCGTCGGGCTCCGCGGCCGCCGGCCCGCGCCCGTTCATGCGCCCGGGCAGCCAGGCCGGGGGCTCGGGGCGGCCGCGGCTCGGGCCGGCGTGGCCGGGACCCCCGGCGCCCCCGCCGCGGAAGGCCAGAGTCCGACGGTTCCTCTCGGCGAGCAGGGGGCCGCCCGCGCCGCCGCCGCCGCCGCCCAGCGAGGCGGGGCCGCCCGCGTCCTGGGGGAGCAGCGACTCCTTGGCGTCCTCGCCGGCCCCGGCCGCCCCGGCCGCCCCCGCCGCCCCGGCGGCCTCCGCGTCCTGGGGCTCCAGGCCCTCCGAGTCCATCTCCTCGTCCGCCCCGCGCCCATTGGGCTGCAGCGGCGCGGGCGGCGCGGGCTGTCGCGGCTGCGGCTGCGGAGGCCAAGCGCAGGCCTCCCCGCCGGCGGCATTGTTCGTGGCGGGGCCGCCGCCGCCTCCTCCTCCTCCTCCTCCGCCTGCGCCTCCTCCGCCGCCGCCGCCGCCGCCCGTGGCCAGCCCGCCTCCTCGGAACGCCAGCGTCCTGCGGTTCATCTCACTGAACGACATGGCGCGCGCCTCCGCCTCCTCCTCCTCCTGCTGCTGCTGCTGCTGCTGCTGCTCCGCCGCCGCCCGGTGGCTGCCTGGGCCCGCGCGCTCGCCGCGGCTCTCCCCCAACGCCTCGCCCGCGCCCCCGGCCCCCGGCCCCGGCCCCGGGCTCAGCCTCCCTCCCGCCGGCCGGCTCGCTCGCCCCCGGGCCGCCTCCGCCTCCGCCGCCGCCTCCGCCGCCGCCGTCCGTGTGCCTGTCCCGGCCGGCCGCGTCCTCTCCGCCCCCGGCCCGCCGCGCTCTCCGGGGCCGGGGCCGGGGCCGGGGCCGGGGCCGGGGCGCGTGCGGCCTCGGCTGGAAGTTGACCGCAGGGAGGGAGGGAGGGAGGGAGGCGGGCGGGGAGTGCGGGCGCCCCCGCGCTGCCTGCCCCGCGCGCGCACGGCACAGCGAGCGGCCCGCCAAGCGCGGCGGCCGCCGGGGCTCGTCCTCACCGCCGCCGCCGCCGCGGGCTCGCCCTGCCCAGGCGCGGACGGACGCCAGGCGCGCGCGCTAAGCCGCCGGGCGCCGCCGCCGCCGCCACATAGCGAAGCCCGCGGTGAAGCCGGGCGCCGGTCCCCCGCTCGCTCTGCCCCGCTCGCCCGCTCGCTTCCTTCCGTCCGACCAGGCCCCGGCCGAGGTCGAATGGCAAATGAACAACGGACCGTGCGCCCACAATGCACCGGGGTAGCAGCAACCGCTGCAGGGGGAGAGGGCGGGGGCCGGACGGCCGGCCGGGGGAGGGGGCGGGCCGGGGCGGGCCGGGCGGGGTCGCGGTGGGCCGGGCCGCGCACAGCCGGGCTGGGCCGGGGGCGCTCGGGGACCGGGAAGGGGGCGGGCGGGGCGCACGGGCGGGGGCGGGGGCGCGGCCGCGGGAAGGAAGCGGGCGGAGCCCGGGCCGGGGCTGGGGTCTCGGGGCGGGGCGGGGCCGGCTCGGCCAGGGCGAACAGCTGGCGGGCGTGTGCACGCGTGTGTGCATGCGTGCGAGTGTGTGTGCACGCGTGTGCGTGTGTCCGTCCGTCCGTCCGTCCGTCCGGCTGGCTCGGGGGCCGCCTCCCCGGCCGTGCGCACCGCGCCCCCGGCTCCCGCCGCGGCTTCACCCGGGGCTCCGGGAGCGCGCGCCCGGCTGGGTGTGTGTCTGTCTCTGTGTGTGTGTCTGTGTGTGTGTGTGTGTGTGCGCGGGCGGCCGTGCCCGAGGAAGTGAACTTATTCTGCTCCATCACAAAAGGCCGGGCCCGGCGGCGCCGCCCTCTCCGGGGCCCCTCGGCCTCCGCGGGTGCATTGTGTGCGCCCCCACCCCGGGGCCCCGCGCCCCCCGCCTCTGCGTCCCCGGTGCCCCCCGGGGGCGGCGATGGCCGGGAAGGGGACGCGGCGCTCCCCTGCTCCGCTCCGCTCCGCTCCGCGCGCCGCCCCGGGTGTCTTATTGCTGTGATGAAATGGAAATTTAAATAAAAGGTCGGACACGTGCGTTCGCCGGGAAGTATTGACATGTGTGTTACATCACCGGCAGCCAATCAGGCGGCCCCGGCCGTGTTTATACTCCGACAACCACCTTGTGAGTGTTACAGTATGTCATAGCGTTATAAATATTAGGCAGGGTTTTCCCCGCGCGCGGGCGGGCGAGGGAGGAGCCGGCCGCCGCCGCCGCCGCTGCCAGGACGGCAGCGCAGCTCCCGGGCGAGCGAGCAGCGTGCGCACGCGAGCCTTGGGGTTCGGGACCCTTTGCGCCGGCCTGAGCGGACAGAGCTGGCAGCGAACCTCCCGAGGTCGTACTAGTCGAGTTTTTGTTTTTGTTTTTGTTTTTCTTCCTGGAAGAGGCTTGCCAGTTAAGAGCCCTTAAACTCGCCCTCCCCTTTAATTATGCTCTCTCTGGACAGCACTAACGCGTTTAGGCGTTTACTAATTCACAAAGTGGTAATTGTTTCTGTTTCCTTATTTTTTATTTTGGTTATTTGTTTGTTTGTTTGTTTAAACAGGCTCTTGCAAGAGGCAGGCAGATCTCTGATTTCCAGGCCATCCTGGTGTACAATGGTTTATTTCCAGGTCACCAGGGGATACACACAGCAGGGGCCCTGCTGTCCAACTCGGGCTGATGTCGAACTCACAGCAATCCTCCTGCCTCAGTATACCTAGGGTTGGGATTGTGGGTGTACACCACCATGCCCCACAAGATCAATCTTAAATTTCTTTTGTTCATGCTTATTTCAGAGTTTTCTCTCCTTTTTTCTTTTCCTTCCCCCCCCCCTTTTTTTTTTTAAGACAGGGTCTCTCTAGACCTTAGCTGTCACTAGATCAGGGTGGCATCAAACCCACAGAGATCCACCTGCCTCAAGCGTCCCGAAGGGTGGAGTGGACTGGGGTGGAGGGAGAGGGGAGCTGCTGAAGGGTCTGTCTGCTTTGAAGTTTTAAAGATGCTGGGGGCTGGGTGGATGGCTGTTCTGGACCAGCTGGCTCCCTCCCTGTATCTCAGGCTGCAGGGGACAAGGGAGCAGCTCTTCTGTCTCGGGGCACCACGAAGCACAGGGTGCAAAGACACAAGCAGGCAGTACACATGCGCACATGTTTTTAAAGCCACCTGCTACAGTTCTCCAAAGTGTTACCAATTAGTGTTTGGTAATATTGGGGGGGGGGTGTTGAGACAGGGTTTCTCTGTAGCCTTGGAACCTATCAGTTAAACTGCTCTGTTGACCAGGCTGGCCTTGAACTCCCAGAGATCCACCTGCCTCCCTAGTGCTGGGGCTACAGGTGTGTGTTGCCACCTGGCTACTTTTTTTTTTTTCTTTTTTGGAGACTGGTTTCTGTGTGGCCTGGCTGGCCTTGAATTTGTTGTCCCTCAGCTTCCATAGTTTGTCACCATGCCGCGCTACCTTGATGGAGGTTTCTGTTTGTTTAGCTGAGGTCTCGATTCATACCTCTGGCTGTCCTAGAACTCAGTGTGTAGGTAGATCAGGCTGCCTTCTAACCGGTGCAGTCCTGCCTCACTTCTGTGCAGGAAGTCAAGGTGAGAGCCCAATTGCCTTGACACTTTGAATTGAACTGAACTGAACTCAAGCATGAATGTTGAGATTTGTGTGTTGGTTTTGATTTGTCAAAGCCTTTATCACCGTACCTGATGTATTGCAGCTCTGTATATGAAATAAAGTTGGTTAATTCTAATGTGAGCTTGAGCTTATTTGCAAAGTGTGTCTGTCACCTGTAACTGACAACATGCTTTCACTGTGAAGACTGACAAGTCCGCAATCCCACAAGAAGCCAAGGAGACCGAGTTATCCTCCTGCCATGGACACCTCATCACCTACGCTGTCACTGGCCTTCGGATGCTGAAAGCCCCCTTATTCTGATAAGAGCCCTCAGGTTGATAGTGTTGGTGAGCTTTGGTTGTTGGAGACATAACTGTTGCCTGTCTCTAAAAGCTAAAGGAGCTGAGAAGCCTTAAAGGGATCGGAAACAGATCTGTACCTCCAAATACCCTGTGCCAAGGGAACTTTGAATCACAAGGGGATCTCCTCTGTAAATGGAGTTTTTAGGAATTTCCCCAACCCTTCCAGCCTCCCACTGACAGGCAGGGGCCTGTTCTACCCTGTAGCCCCCATACTGTTAGGGTTCTGCCATATTCAAGGGAATTCCCCCTGATGCTTACCAGGGGAACCCCTGAAGAATGGGCAGTCCCAAGCAGTTTGTCCCCTAATTTCATCTAAGCTATGTAAAACTTGTGTAGGTGATTCCTAATGCTGTCCCCGTGGGCCAGATAGGGATCAACCATGGACCTGCCCTGGCCGATGCTTGGCCAGGCTGGACTGTCCATCATTGCCCTGGTAGAGGGCTTATGCCCTCAGCACTTAGCCTATTTTAGACTTCAGCAACAGTGGCCCAGGCTTCTGTGAAATCGGCCCCGGGTCCTCTCCCGGGAAGGTGGACATCACTTAATTGTATAAGGTGCTAGGCCCAGCCTGGGAAAAGCAAGCCAAGAGCGTGAATCCTGAGAAATGACTAACCACATCTTCCCTCAGCCTACTTCAGTGAACTTTTCCTGAGTTTACTCTGTTTAGTCTGTTTTGTTTTGGAGTCTGCTTGCTTTTGAGACTGAGTTTCTCTGTGTTGTAGTCTTGGCCATACTGTAACTCACTCTGTAGACCAGGCTAGCCTGGAATTCACAGAGATCCATGTGCCTCTGGCTCCCAAGTGCTGGGACACCACCATCAGGATTTCTTTTACTTTTCTTATCTAGGGAAAAGTTATTCTTTCAAAACTACTGAGTTAGAGCCAGATAAGGTGGCACACTTGTATAACCTCAGCCCCTAGGAGCAGAGGCAGAAGGAGGATCAGACGACATTCAAGATGTGCCTTGATTATAGAGAATATTTTACCTAGAGTAATACCTTCCTGTTAAAGCCAAACTTTATATATAAACAATGTTACAGGTACCAAATTATAAGCTACATTATTTTTTTTCTTTGCTACATTAAAATTTAAACTTTATTCTTCAAATATAGTTGTAGGAGGGAAAAAAAACCCTCATCCACTATTTCCATTACTCAGAATTAAGCAATATCATAAAAATAATGTCTGTACCTAGCATTTTTATTTTGATATTTTTGAGTTGGATCCTATCTTGTTTAGTAATCCATGCATTTTAATATCATTAAATATCCTGTGTTATTTTAGTCATTAATCTTACCATAGATGGAAATGCCATCGTTGACTTTACCAGGACATTGTTTTTGCCACTATAAGCAACTCATTGAATTTTTTTCCCATTATAGACAACTCCTTATCTTTTCCTTGTATTGTTATTGTTTTTATTTTTGAGGTAGGGCTTGAAGTAGCCCAGGATGCCTCTAACTTCCAAGTGCAGGCCCCCATCCGTGCCCAGTTAGCCTCTAACCAACTCTTTAATGGACACCCTTGAAAGAAAAACCCTGCGTGCAATGTTCTACTTACTTATCTATGTTTGCGGTGCTAGGAATAGAGCCCATGGCGTCCTACGTGCTAGCACTGTGCCAGATGAGCTAAATTCTCAAGC